GGGCATGTTGGCACATGCCTGTAGTCCCAGCTACTCGGGAGGCTGAGGCAAGAGGATTGCTTGAGCCCAGGAGTTTGAGGTTGCTGTGAGCTAGGCTGACTCTAGGGCACTCACTCTAGCCTGAGCAACAGAGTGAGACCGTCTCCTAAAAAAATAAATAAATTAAAAAAAAAGTGTATGAAAAGGTTCTTACATAACTGTGCTGACCAGGATAGCTGCTAGTCACATGTGGCTATTTAAATGTTAATGTAAATTAATCAAAATTAAGAATTCAGTCCACAGCCCACTAGCACATTCAAGTGTTCACTACCCACACAGAACATTTCCACATCACTGTTGTGTAACATCTGAGAAAACCACAAAACAAAATGCTTTATCTCGCTGGGCGCGGTGGCTCACGCCTGTAATCCTAGCACTCTGGGAGGCCGAGGCAGGCGGATTGCTCGAGGTCAGGAGTTCGAAACTAGCCTGAGCAAGAGTGAGACCCTGTCTCTACTATAAATAGAAAGAAATTAATTGGCCAACTAATATATATAGAAAAAATTAGCTGGGCATGGTGGCGCATGCATGTAGTCCCAGCTACTCAGGAGGCTGAGGCAGTAGGATTGCTTGAGCGCAGGAGTTTGAGGTTGCTGTGAGCTAGGCTGATGCCACGGCACTCACTCTAGCTCGGGCAACAAAGCAAGACTCTGTCTCAAAAAAAAAAAATGCTTTATCATTTTGTAATCTTTGTCACAATACAAGAGTACAAGAGGTATATGTTTTGGCACATTTTTGGCTTAAAATATGAAGAGCTAAATAAATATAATTTCATATTTTCTCTTAAAAACAAGTAGGGTTATAGAGAATTTTGAATCCATATTCTTTTTAGGGGATCAAGAGAATAAGTGGCCCACTTTATGCACTGCATAATCTCTATTTACATAGCCACAAATTCTGATATCCATAGCTCTAATTAAGTACATATGAACACTGCACTGGCACATGTGCCAAAAACCTGAAGGAACTACATTAGGGAATCTAAAGATACTAAATAAGGCTTCCCACATAATTCAACGAAATGGATTATAGCTGATTCTTTCAGAGATACTACAGAATATTGTGCTCAAATTTCTGTGAATTATTTTTGTGTTAAGTATGGTGACCACCTCATTCCAGTTTTCCTGGGGCTTTCAGGCTTCCATTCCAGTTTTGTGGGACTCAGAGTCCCACATCCCAGGAAACTACACAGTCCTGGGCAAATGGAATTGCCACTCCTAGTGGTAAGATACAGTGCTTTATCTTTCTACGCATTTTCCAATATGGCAGCCTACAATACGGACTGATTGATTTTTCTATATTAACAGTTATATAACTGTTAATATAAACTCAAGATAACCTGGCTCAACTGCCTTTCTAGTCCATTCCACATCCATAAATCTTATGTTCTAGCTATGCTGAATTTTTGGCTTTCCCAAAACATGTATTTTCACACCGCTGTCTTTGCTCAGGCCATTCTCTACCTGCGATGCTTCTTCATTCCAGTGAACATATACAGAACTTACCCATAAAAAGGTCTAATTGAAAAAACACCTCTTTTCACATGCTGTCTTCCCTCTGATACTCTCCTTTTTTCAAATTTTCCGACTCTGCAATAGAATGACTTGCTGCTTCGGCTGTACTACCAGCATATTTTACATATATTTATTATAACAATTGATCCTTTGTGCTGGTATTTGCCTTATATGTTTGTTTTCTTTTCTAGACTACAAGTGCAAATGGCTCTATCTTTTTATTACTAGTGTCCAACTGTTTCTGGCACATGGGTAATGCTTGTTAAAACTCATGTTTAATAAACTTCAAAGCTTATTTTATCTTATTTTATCTTACCCATTATCTTGTTTGATCCTCTTAAATATTCTGTGAGCTTGACAGAGTTGATTGCTCTGTATCCATTTGGTTGATGAACAAATAGTATTAAAGATAGTGGTTTGACCAAGGTTAGAATGGGTAGTTTGGTACTGAATCCCAGGTCTTCTGACTACCATTTTCTGCTAAGTCCCCCTGAAGATTGTTATCCAACAGACAGGATTGCTCTGTGTGTTGATAACAAAAGGGTGATCAATAATATTTGACAAGCCGATTTTGTGTAAAAGCTCACCCTGTCATTCCTTTCCTTCAAAATCATCCCATACTGGACCCTTCTTTCATTTTCCCAACTTAATTTTATCAGGTGAGAAACGTTGGCTAAACCATCATCTGATCTTAAGTCAAACTGCCCAAAATTCACAGTTAAAGGTTAACCCTTACTGAATTAATGAAGCACCTTAAAAGTTCCGCTGTTAAAAGTAACGCTTTTATATCATGACTGTCAGTGTCAGGTGCTTTTTAAAACTTCAGCTCTCTCCTCTGATGGGTTCCCTTTAATCTGTCTGGATTATTATAGGCTTCTAGCTGCCTGATAACTTGCAGTCATTATCCAGAGGGGAAAGTCCCCTGTTAGGAATCAAGAAGAAGCGGGCTACAATCCAGCTCAGCCGTTCTGGGCTTTGTCTTTACTTATCTAACCACTTAAACGGGAATAAAGCCACACCCATTTAGGATGCCGCGAGAATTGGGAGACCCGACGAGTAAAAGCGACCTGCAAAAACCTTAGCTCTAAGTCCGTAAAAAATGCTATTATATTTTCACACTTCTGTTCTTTGCTAATAAATAATGTAATTTACTTAATTTTGAATATAATGTGTCTCCAAACCTAGCCAAGCGAAGGTCACATCACCGCAACCCTGCCTCTGGGGACGCCACGCTTCCACGCGAGACCCCGCTTCCACGCTTTGCTCTGGGGTACCCAGGAGGCGGAAGGGACGCGCCTGCAGTGACGCACTTACCCTGCGCGACTGACGTCACTGCCGGGCGCCAGGCGGCACGTTGGCCGGGATTTCGGCGGGCTTCCTGGGCACAAAAATGGCTATGGCCAGTGATTTCTACCTGCGCTACTATGTAGGGCACAAGGGCAAGTTTGGACACGAGTTTCTAGAGTTCGAGTTTCGGCCGGACGGTGAGCAGAGGAGGGGCCTCCGGCGCGCGGTGCTGGGAATGGGGAATTGAGACCGAGAGGTCGCGGAGGAGGCGAGGCGGGGTGGGGTGAACGAGCCTTGGTGGGCTTGTGCCGGCGGAGTTCCCTGCTTTCGCCGAAGTATAAAGCTTAGGAGGAATATAGGAAGCCTACGTTGGTCTTGTGAATAACCGGGAAATTGATTGCTGTAGTTAATTTAGAAAAGTCAATCCAGTCACATACTGAAAAGTTGAACCTGTGATAATCAGAATCCTAGAGTCAGCGCACCAGAAGGGACTTTAGAGGTTCTGTAGGTTATCGCCCTAATTTTAAATGCCTGAAAGTTTTAAAAACACTCCCACCAAGCCGTGGTCCAGTGGATGCTTAAAATCTTTCGGTGACCCGTAACTTTCAGCCTGTTCATTCATTTTATTTTTTCAGGTTGTGTGTGTTTTGAATGGGAAGAGACCGACATGTAAACAAATGAGTGTAATATGTTTTAGGTGCTTAAATACAATTGTTCACCATAGGATGCATTAAAAGTACAAAAAAAGAGGGAGAGGTTAATTCCAAAGGAGGGAATCAAGAAAAGCTTCCTAGAGGACTAGACTCTTTGAGATGAGTCTTGAAGTGAGAGTAGGTATTTTCTTGACCTCTGAGGGGAGGTGGGGAGAACAACAAACTGAGAGCAGTATGAGCACAGGGCTAGGTGAAACTGCTACCTATGTTGTGTGCAATTCTCTTTTGACAGCTCTGACGCTCTTTAGAGAATGTTATTGTGCATTGAACTCGACTACGAGGAAGTTCAATTGGCTATATATATTTTCTGAATGCACGTTATGTGCTTGGGGACATGCGTTAATAATACAAAATTCAGGGTACAGTAATGAGTGAGACTTCAATTTTTCCTCATGGAGTTATGTCTTGGTGGGAGACAGAGACATGTAACTAACTATAGAGCAGTTATGCATATTAAGTGGTGTTGCATGCTTTGAACAAGGTTCTATGACAGCATGAACGAAACATTAGAGGAGGATCATATATTAGGAAAGGGGAAGAGTATCAAGCATTTCACGGGGAACTCAAGGTAATTACAGCCCTGCAATTATTTAGAAACCTTAATCACCTTATTCATTCTTGCTCTCCCCATGTCTCTTCTGAATTTAGCTCAGGAGTCAAAATTACCAGAATTTATCTATTCTTTCGTTATGTAGTATTGTTTTCAGCCTTGCCTATGAACATCATCCAGCTTGTCCATATCACTTTTAACCAGTCATGTCAATTAAGTACCCAAATATTATCAGGGAAATTTCATGCTAGAACAATGGTTGTCATCCATTTATCTGCTTCCACACCATTCTACATACTTCCATTGGTAATAGTGAGTCTTTTGACTCACTATTATCTTTTGACTGATTTATAAGAGGTGTACCTTATTAGAGTAACCTATCATTTTAGCGTGTCAACAGCACATTGTAGCTGTATCTGGGCTACTGACTAGCCATAAGGGGAAGTGTGTGTCAGGGATCGCAAAAGTCATGATGGATTAACATTAAATGTAGATCACCTAACAAACTGGTCAGGTTTTATCCAGAAGTAGTACATAATTGTTTTGTATGCTTCCTAGTCATTACTCTAAAATATTAGCATTACCATAATTATATACATACGGTAATTCGAAGAAAAATAATTAAAAGAAAATTTTGGCATAATGGAGAAAGTGTGAGTATTGGAATAAAGTAGATCTAGATCTGAATCTTGGGTGACCCTGGGCAAGTTATTTAACTGTGTTTTCTTGCCTGTGAATAGGCGAGAGAATAAAAACTGCCTTTGAAAGTGTGTTTTACAGATTAGATTAAATGCTTTGAGTAAGGCACTTAGTACCAATATAGATATAACAAACTTGAAAACATTTTATTTTCTTTTTCAGATTTCCTTTCTAGTTCATGACATAGCTTAAGAAAATAGGCCTTAAAGTAACCAGTAATATATTGAAGGCATGGAATATTTAAAAATTTGGCTAGTTTCAACTTCAGCCAATTCACCATCAAATATTTACTTAAGTGTCTGTGTCTAATATTGATATTATAGTAGGAGGGAGGAAATATGAATAAAAGTAGTAGTATAATATGGTCTTTACCTTCAAAATTGCTTACAATGATATTTATTTATTTTGGCAGTTTTTGGTGTTATAGATTGAATTTTTTCCCACTCCTTACAGGAAAGCTTAGATATGCCAACAACAGCAATTACAAAAATGATGTCATGATCAGAAAAGAGGTAAGGTCTTTTTGAATGTCTAATTTTTTATACTTAGTCCATTTTCCTTGAGTTTGTGTTAAATTATTTTTTAATTTTTTTTGAGTTTGTGTTAAATTTATAAAAATGCATCTAAGGCTATATTGTAAAGAAGAAGGCAATTTATAGATTGAAAAGTGTTTCCATATTAATACTTGAGGAACGTAAATAATTATTAGAAATTATTTTCATGATAATTGTATTAACAATGTATATTATATTTACTTATATTTGATAAATTGTTAATATTGTTAATTTAGTTACAAATGTATACATTTGCTTAAAAGCCTTTTGAAGTACACACAAAAAAGTAGAATACATGTAGAGATGACATTGTAGCTTAGATTGCAATTAAAATAGGTCAATGGGTGCGCAATCTATTCACTCTGAGTCTCACATTTGTTTATCATTTAATCATTATATAATAACTTTGTTTTCACGACTATCATATTTAAGAACTAATAGGGAATCATAATGGTATAACTTTTAAATGAAAGGCACAAAAGATAGAGATAAGAAAGTTTATTCTGATTCAGTGAGTCTAGAAAAGAGAAATAAAGAATGAAAAAAAAAAGTTTTTTTTTTGGACAGGTCTGTTCTTTCTATCCGTTCTTTTGTTCTTATCGCCGCTAGGGAAATGCCGTGGGGCATCCATGCCTAGCTCAGCGGCGCACTGAAGCTCCTAGTGCTCAAGCATCCTTCTGCCTCAGACCTCCCGACGTTGCTGGGACTACAGGCATCGCCACCATGCCAGCTAATTTTGTAATTAAGAGTATATTAGTTGTCAATTAATTCTTTCTATTTTAAGTAAAGATGGGGGTCTCAGTTCTTGCCTCATGCTAGCTTTAACTCCCTGTATCTTGAGTTGATCCTCCTGCTCCTTGGCCTCTCAGAGCTGCTGATATAGCGGAAAAAAAAGTAACAGTCGGGAGACTAACTATATATAGCTTGCCATTTGTTGCGTATTACTTCGTAGTCTTGTGTAGTGGTCACCAATAAACCACTGAAAATATTGTGATGCTCCATGGTTACAAAAGGCCAGACATACAGGGTTTTAAAAAGGAGTAGGTAGGGCCGGGCGTGGTGGCTCATGCCTGAATCTAGCTTCTCTGGGAGGCTGAGGGGGTGCATCGGTTGAGGCTCAGGAGTTCGAACACCAACCTAGCAAGAACTAGACCGCCGTCTCTCACTAGAATAGAAAGAATTAATTGCAACTAAGTTATATATAGAAAAATTAGACCAGCATGGTGCGGCGCATGGCTGGTATCCCAGTGCTTGGGTAGGCTGAGGCAGAGGATTGGCTTAGCCACAGATGGGTTGCTGTGAGCTGCTGATGCGACGGCAACTCATTAGGCCTGGGCAACAAAGAAAACTCTGTCCAAAAAAAAAAAGGGAGCTAGTGATGAAAAGAGGGAAAAATATGTATTAAAGGAAAGAGTAAAATCGAAAAATATATAAGAAGCGGATGAGTTTCTGCATTCTGTACTTTTGGACTCAGAGTTAAATATTTCTGTGAGATTCTATGAATTTCAAGGTTTGTAACTGTTTTATTTCCTTCTGAGTTGTGGGATGACACAGGCAGGCATTATGAAATTTTATTATAATTCATTTTCAGGCTTATGTACACAAGAGTGTAATGGAAGAACTAAAGAGAATTATGATGACAGTGACATCACCAAAAGAGATTGATGCTTGGTGGGCCTCCCCGTGAACGAGGGTTTGGCGTCGACGTGTTGTATTTATGTTCTTTTAAATGATAATATATAAAATTACAACGTGATTATGTTCCTTTACTTACTTAGAATGAATTCTCATTGACTCTTGGTTTGTCCACGTTATATGCCTGAAATTTACTCTTGAATTTTATTTCACTTAGCTTCATTTTTAATGCTTACTCCTCATAATAAAGGAGTCAGTGCATAGCTCTAAATTTAGACATCTTTCTTAACAGTCTTCTCTGTAGCCCTCCCAGCCAAAGTTAGGATATTTTCATGGTGTTATGAATAATTTTTGTTGTATGTTAGTCATTTTTATTGGGAATAAGTACAAATGTTTGTTAAATTTGAGACTTCAGATTCTCACTGACTGTGTAAAATTCACTTTCCAAATTTTAACTTTCAAAATTCTTTATTTGGAATCCTTATGACCCAGAGAGACACTTGATTGGTGGTTTCTTTGTTCAAACTGACCATTGCGTTTGCCTCTCATATTTTCTTTTTTTTTTTGTTTTTTATTAGACGACTAGTCAGTGCGTAGTGAGGAGCGGGAATAGTAGTGAGACAAGGATTCCAATCTGTTAACTGACTGTGAACAACACTGGAGATTAACTCACTCCTTGCGACCAGCCTGCTCTCATTTCTTTCTTCAGATAATTTGGTATTTCTCAAAAGGCTTCTGAAGAATCTGAAGGCCTAATTTCACTGTGTATAAAGAAATTTTGGTTTCTGAATTGGGTCTTTTCACTCTTGGAGAAATGAGATACAACCCCTGGACGGAAGAAATACTTAATTCACTTTTGTATATTTCTGAGGATTATACTTTTAGAAGAAAATGTGGAGAAATCTAACAGATGTTGACAACTGTAGCAGTAACTTAACTCTTCTATTTAAAGAAACATTATTTAGGAAAGCAAAGGTAATAGTTAATAGAATTTATTTTATTCATTGTATCACTTTAAAAAGTAAATTTAGATCTCAGTTTTATGCATTTATACATATGTACTAAAATACAACAGCAACTAACCTTTTATATCTTTTATACTCAGGGAAAGTGTAGTGCTTCATCTAACCTCTCGATGATGTGTTCATGGGTTTTGGTTAGTGGGGAAGCATAAGCATGTTCCAAAGATTGCCTGTTGGATCATTAAGTCAAAGATTTTGTAATTGTTAGAGAATCTTAGTTAATTCTCCATTTGGTGTGTGCCATAAACTGCATAATTAGGTCTTTTGATTTAATATATAGCTAGGACTCTCTTAGTGGTGTATTTGTTAATTTAACTTGAAAACGTATTACAAACATAGCCTCTTAAGTTTTGGTTTTATATTTGCAGATAAACAAGATAGAGGAAAATCTATATCAGTTATTTTGGGGAGTATTTGTCTTATTCTTCTGGGATCAGCTATCCGTACCATCACTGATCAGTGGTTGTAAATATGAACAAGTGTTTTCCTCTGCTTTATGAGTTTTGAATTGTACATTTGTAAAATAGACTAATAAAGCCTACCTTACAAGGTTATTTTAGGGATTGCAAAGAACATTTGTAAGGTCCCTAGCAGCAGGGCCTGACACATATAGGTGCTAAAGTGGTGGCCATTATTATTATACATTTTATTTGCTGAATCTTATGGAAAGGGAAAATATCTTTGTATCTATTATATTAAAAATAGGTTTATACCCATATCATTAGTTTTTACATGTGCTTCAAAGAAATGGCTTTATTTTTTACTGACATAAGAAACATTTCTGTGTCATTTTATTTTATAATATCTTTATGATGTCACAGGAAAGCAATTCTTGGTAATAAAATTGGGGGTAGTGCTGTAAGCAGTTAATAAGGCTTTTATTTTAAGGATTTAGTTTATGTCTAACAGATCAAGTTTCTTCCCCTTCACTGCATCCACTATTGACTACCAAGAAACTTGTGACTAAAATGGAGACCCCCCTTTGTAGCAAGCATACAGATATCTCTGGTATTCCAGAGATTTTTATATTAACTACATTTCTCTGCTATTTTATTTTTTTCAGGAGCTGGAAATTGTAATTGGAGATGAGCACATTTCTTTTACTACATCAAAAATAGGTTCTCTTATTGATGTAAATCAGTCAAAGTAAGTATGTTAAAGCATTTTGGCCAGCCCTACATTGTTAGAGAGGCTCATTTTAGAACTGTAGTCAGTTGGTTAGCCAAGATTATTTCAGTGGCATCCTGTCAATTTATCATGCACATGCAATTTTGATTTTTACATCATTAAAAACTTATCTAAGAAATTAGCAGGGTATTTCACAGATTGTCAAAAACATCTTATTCCAACACTTCTGTATAAGAACACTCAGATTTTATTAGCTATTTTGTATGAAAATCTGGGTGCGATTTCAGAAAATGTAAAGAAATCCTTATTGGATTTTATCAGCCTTGTTAGCTCGGTATTATATCACGCTCCTCCTTGGGTTCAATACTTGAAAAAAATTGAAAATATTCAATATAGCTTAAATATTCCTTTAGCTACCTATATTTTCCCAAGATCTATGTCTCTGGGCCATTGTAGCATGTCCCATTGTCTTGGTCTGATCAGGCTATTTCTTCCCATCTTTTCCCCTCAAAATGTCCCCATAATGTTCTTACTTTTCCCTGTCACCTGAAATTATAATAATTTGTCTGCTTTACTGGTTTGAATGTAAGCTCTATAAGAGTCTTGCTATATCTCCAAAGTTAGCATAGTGTCTGACACATAATAGATACTTTATATAAATATTTATTAGAGGAAAGGAGAAATGTCTGACACATAATAGATACTTTATATAAATATTTATTAGAGGAAAGGAGAAAGGAGAAATATTTATTAGATGAGAGGAGAAATATTTATTAGAGGAAAGGAGAAAGGAATGAATGCATAATAACTATTGGGCACAAAAGACTGTGCTCATAAAGACCAACCAGTTACTTTTAAGCTGTCAAATTAATTTTTCTACAGTTGATGAGGGAATGGCATTCATACCCTACTGTGATTGTAAATTGGTACTATTTTTGGTAGAAAGCAATTTGGTAATATGTATCAAAAATTGTTAACATTTTTTATTCCTCTTTGACATAATAATTTCATTTATGAACATCTGTGGTAGGGAAATATTCTCAAATACTGGAAAAGCTTTATTGTGTACAAAGATGCTCATTGAGTGTTATTTGTAATAGGAAAATAATCCAAACGTCTAACAAGGAGGGAACTATTTAGTTAAAATTATTAGTGAGTTGTTTTTTTTAATGCTGTGGAGAAAGTAATATAATAAAGGGCACAGGGAGTGATTTTATTTATAAAAAAATGGAAAATATTTATAGTTATTCCATGAGAGTAAGGCATTGTAGTATTATGAATATTTTTTCTGCTTTGTATATCTTTGTGATACAGTTATTATGTTCATAAGGAGATAAATACTTGAAATATAATGAATATTGATGAAGAAACTATTTTTTCCCCTACAGCATAGAGATGTTAATCATTTAGTCTGTTCATTTCAGTTGTCAGCAAAATCCTTCCTTTTTCCTAGATTCTATTAACTTAATTGTTACAAGCTTTTGATTTTATTTGTTTTAGGAATTTATAACATTGTTTCATTCTAGGAACAAAAAAGTAACTTTTACCTTTTTACATTTTAGGGATCCTGAAGGCCTTCGAGTATTTTACTATTTGGTACAAGACCTGAAATGTTTAGTTTTCAGTCTTATTGGATTACACTTCAAGATTAAACCAATTTAAATTTAATATTTCTGAAGCTGTTTGTATATTTAATTAAGGGATGGGTAAGGGAGGGTTTATTTGTTATTTACAATATTGGGATTTTTATGAATGTGAAGCAAATAAATTTTTTTTGTATGTAAACTGAAAATAAGAAAAATACATAAACAACCTTAATGGTTATCATTACTTGGGTCCAACTGGGTTGGACAGTCCCCCCCACACATTAAATTTTGTAAATAAAAGCCACCTTTTGTTGAAGATTTGCTCCAATAAAGCATCAAAGCCTGGATGGAGAGTGGTGTTTGTTTTGTTTTGATTTCAAGTTAAGAAATTGTTCTAGTAATAGTTTGGAAGAAGATGTTTTAGGTATAATATGTAGCCAGATTCCCATCCAGTAAAGACAATTACAGATCTTCCCTTATTTCTTTTTTTTCTTGAGACAGAGTCTCGCTTTGTTGCCCAGGCAAGAGTGAGTGTTATGGCATCAGCCTAGCTCACAACAACCTCAATGTCCTGGGCTCAAGCCATCCTCCTGCCTCAGCCTCCCGAGTAGCTGGGACTACAGGCATGTGCCACCATGCCCGGCTAATTTTTTCTATATATATTAGTTGCCCAATTAATTTCTTTCTATTTATAGTAGAGATGAGGTCTCGCTCTTGCTCAGGCTGGTTTCGAACTCCTGACCTCGAGCAATCTGACCACCTCGGCCTCCTCTCAGAGTGCTAGGATTACAGGCGTGAGCCATTGCGCCCGGCCCCTTATTTCTTTCATACGTGATTGGATTTAATTTTTTTTATGCTTATAGAAGTTGTTTATAGAACGTTCTGGATTTTTTACAGTTATCACAAAGTCATCAGGGATTATTCACATCTAAATATTTTTGGTATAAGCAGTGCTTCCTTTAAGTGCTGCAAGAGTAAAATCGGCACCCTAAGTCAGGTACATCTTTGATTATGCCCTTATTCCTTATTTCACCGTATGTATTTTATATGTGTGTGGGAACTAAATGAGTTCTCAGCTTTACAAATTATCTAAAATTCAGACTTATACATATGTTTCTGTGAATGCATATATATTTTAATTCCTATTGAACACATCTCACTATAGTTTCCCAATTCCCTTGAACCTCTTTCTGATAGATTGCACCTTTCATTACTTTTCTTAGTAATAACTATGCCTTTGGTATTTTTACTCTTCTATCTATACCCCCACTCTTTAAAAGTTGTGTTGTCCTGTTAATTATAATCCATTTGCCCCAGGGACCAGTCAGTACTGACTTTAGGTCGGAAGAATTAGTCTCTGAAGGCTTGCCAGGACTCCTGAGCAGCTAGGCTCTAGAGCAGCTCTGTCCAATGACTTGCAATAATGGAAATGTTCTATATATGTGCAGTCCAATAGGGTAACACTAGCCATGGGTAGGGCTACTGATTACTTGAGATGTGCCTAGTGTAACTTACAGTGCTATTTAAGCAGTTTTTTTCTAACATTATGAAAAATATTAAATATAAAACTTGAGAATTGTAAAGTGAACACCCATATGCCAATCTAGATTCTATACTTACCCTTTTTACTCTAAGGTCTATTATAATAAATCATCTTGAGTTTTTCACTTAACTGGTGTAATTGGTGCCAATAGAGTATGTTTTTATGTAGTGCTATTTAATTTCGATTTATTTAGATAATCACATGATGTTAAGTGGTACTCTTGGACAGTGTAGCTCCACAGCTGGCTTTGGTAACCTGTTTGCCATGGTCTTTTGACTGCTCAAAAATTTATGGCCGATGTATTCAGGTTTACTGTGGAAAGTCACCTGATCTCTACTTCATTGTGCAAGACTACACTATCATCTTCAGGTCTCATGGAAATAAATATTTCTGTTTAAGTTGCAGACCTTGATGGATGTACAGTATAAAATCCTCTCACACTGATGTCAACCCCATCAGTTGAGAAAGGAAAAATTGCTTTTTGAACCTCTGAGAGGTCTATGGTTTTTGGTTCTTCCTCAAAATAACCTTCCTTCTGTGTCTTGCTGAATAAGATGATCCATTCAAGACTGAGCAAGGTTGGGGAGAAGTAGTCCTTAGATTAAAATATTTTAAATATTAACTCTTTGTCCCATTCTCTGAGTTCTCTGTAGTTTGATTACTTATTTTGCTCTATCCTTGCTGTCTATTAAGATTTCTTATATTCAAACCAAATTGGAGAAATATGATTCTCTAATTCAAACAAATTAGGAAAATACTGTACTGGTGTCTATGATTTTTAATACTTTGAACTGGCTACTTGATTGTAAGCTACTGATAGACAAATGATCATTAGAAATTAAATTTTGATAGGACTAGTTTTATATGAAATTAGATTTTACTACACTTAGGTCAGCAGATACATGTTCCCCTTGCTTCTTCCTTAATAAAGAACCTCTTGAAATAATCAGATTTCTTTTCCAAGTACTACTGTACCTCTCCTCCTTTTCCACTTCCATGGGATGGTGTGTCTCTTACCAAAAACCTAGCATAGTCTTTTCTATTAGGTGCTTTTTAAGTTTGTTCAATTGTTTGTCTTTTGTTTTTTTCTTATTGCTTCACATTATTTATCTTGGATATTTCATTGATAATAAGGTTGAGTCTATTCATGTGGACATTTAAAATATAAATAGAAATGTTAGTTGAGATTATGTATTTTGTATATTCTATCGTTAGACTTGTTAGACTGGTGTTATTGGTGCCAATAGAGTATGTTTTTATGTAGTGCTATTTAATTTCGATTTATTTAGATAATCACATGTGTCTAGTGGGTACTCTTTGGACAGTGTATATTCTATCGTTAGACTATGTTTTGATTTGAAATGTGAGACCTGTGAACATCAGTTTTGTGCTATAAGTTTAACCTGTGATCCATATGATTCTTTTAATAATTGGATTCCTACCATTAATAGGTAATGAGCTAGAAAAGAAAATCCAAAAAATTTACTAAAGATAAACAACAAAGGTAAATGAATGATTTAAGGGTGAGCTCAGAATCTGCCTTGGGAAACTCCCCAAATGATCAGTAAAGCTGGAGAACTGCTGCTCAAATTCTGGTGCCTATGTTGTCCCAATCTGAACTGTGTGATAAGGTGGAGAAAACACTGGCTTAAGAATCAAAAGTCTTAATTGTGGTTCAGCACTTAACTATCTTCATTTTCAACCTGTGAGTAGACTTTATCCTTTAGTGGCACAGAGCCCAAATAGCTTATTTTGCCATTATTTTATCATGCTTGCTCAGTTCCTGAGGTGGCCCTCTCATTTGCTTACTTAGAGATTGGAGGAAGGTTGGTTACTGTTGGCTTGACTGCTAGAGGCCCAGCTGGGATAATATAGAGTATTTTAAATCTAGAGCATTAGAATGGCTTTTATTGTAAAGACAAAAAGGACAAATGAAGTGATTAGGGGAACGTGAAATCTCAAACTAGAGGTCATTTTAATTTTTACTGTAAGAGTCAGAAAATTTACTGTCACTAAGTGGTATAAAAGCTACGTATTAGGACAAATGAACAACGAGGTGGGAATCTGGCCAGGTGAGGTTATTCCTCTAAGTGAAGTGACACAGACCATCCTTTTCTGTGTGCTAGTTGTTATTCCAGACATCCTTACTTCAGCCTAGCACAGGAAGAACAGCGTGCCACTGTGAAATGAGAACTGAAGTTTGAAGGTGTGATCAGGAGGTTTGAAGGTGTGACCAGGAGGTTTGAAGCTGTGACCGAGAGGTTTGAAAGTGTGACTAGATGTCATGTGTTAAGCTTCTAGCTAACACAATTGTCAGAAAGAAATGGGGTAAAATGTGTGGTTTCCCAAATAAAATAGCTTTTGCAGCAAAGCAACCAGAAAATAAATAAGTGAATACTTTATATACATTCATGTTTGTAGATGTGTACAAAAGTGAATTTGGAAGACAAAGTACAAGAATATTCAAAACTCTTCCAACTTATCTTTCTGTCTTACTAACTGGTTGTGATAGTTGTGGTAAAGTGTGGTACTTCTAATCTTGTGATGTTTCCAATCTTGTTCAAAGGGCCATGATAGGAGTTTCAGTCAATCCTGTCTGAAGTTACGGTTATCTTCTGGTGCTGATTGTTTCTTTGAAGAAGAAATTTGCCTTTTCCAGAGATTCATAGCTTGGTAATAAAAAGAAAATAGAGCTTAGAGACAGCAACTACAAAAGTTGATTTTCCAATCATTAGTCACATTCCTCCTCTTTTCAAAACTATGAAAAATTTAGATTTTATAGTCAATCCTATATCTCTTGTATGTGTTACCATTCCAATAATGAATAAGACAGATGTGCTCACTCTATGGACTGTATGGTATGATAAAAGAGATGGACAATACGCGAGAAGTGTAAAAGAGTATGTTCTGTACTTATCTAGCTTCCATCCAGAGAACTACTCACCCTCTCAGCAGCTGTAGGGATGTAAATCAAAATAGAAAAGCCTCAGCATCACCACTATCTCCATGGGACAGTAAGATCGGAGGCTATGGAATGATCTTCCTAGAGCAGGGGTGGAATGCTGCCGTGTTTCCCAGCTCCTGAGTTGTGTTAGTGTACTATCCCAACTCCATTCTTCCGAACACCTGCACTCTAGCCTCACATAGTGGGATAGAGAACACAATTCAATGTGTCATGATTTCTGGATTGCAGTCCGGCGCTTCAGAACCTTAGGAGTGGAGAAACAAGAAAATGAGAAAATGTGGACATATTTTGAAGTCTAAGACACCGTGTATGTAGTGCTAATTTCATTTCATTCTTCCAGGTCTGTGAAGTAGGTGATATTCCTTTTGAATATGTGAAGAAACTAAGGCTTGAAGATTTAGAGTGACTTGTTCAAATTTTAACATATAGGAAGGATTTGAATCTCGGACTTCAGATAACAATATTTAATATTTAATGGAAGATTGCTATATATGTATGACAGGTTCTGGTTGGGCACTTTATATACCTCATTTCATTTAATCCACACTCTATCACCGTTTTACTGTAGTGAATTTGAGATTTAGGGAAGTGACGTGACTTGCCTGAAGTCACACACGGGACCTAGTCGCTTGCCTTTCAAGCCAGATCTGCCTGGTTGCAGAATTCATGCCTTGTGGCAAGAGCTTTGTTGAAAGGCCCTTCTGAATTCCCAGTCCATCCATGCTCTGTATCTTCAGTCAGGCCTGATTTTAAACATGGGTCAAAATTAGCAATAAGGTTTCCTTAGGCAAGTCAATGAACCTCTTCACATTAGTTTCTTCATTTGTGAAATGCAGACAGTAATAAATACCTACCGGTGCTGGGAGGCTTCTATATGGTTTTATACACAGGAGGTGCTCCAATCAATGACAGTGTCTCTTTCTGCCTGCCACCTTTTCAACAACGGCCATCACTGCCCCTACCCCCACTCCGTCTCCTCTCAGCAGAATTAACTTCCTTTATTATTTTGGCACTGGGCTAGAGGGCTAGGGACCATCATCCTCTGATTGGGATTGACAAAGCCAGTCCCCAGGATTAGGAGAAAGAAAAGAAAATGCCCAGCAGCAAGTATCAAGTATTCCTGAGGCGTCCAGACTGCACCCATGGAACTTTACGTACATTACTGAGTTAAATGAGTCTCTGGGAGGTATTTCAGCTGGCAGCTTGCAAATGACGACAAGTGGCAGACCTCAGTGGTGATTCAGAGGTTAAGGATTGTGTCAGGAGGCAGAAGTGGGCTAGATGACGCCCAAACAACAGGAAGCATAACCTAGACCAGGTCTTGGTGGTCAGAACATGCAGTTGGAGGAAAAGCAGGAGGCCTGAGGAAACTGAAGAAAAGGGAGGCCTTCTGAAGAATGATGGTTTAGCATGGCTGCAGGTGGGTGTGGGAAGTTAAAGATAAGCAAGGGATTTGGTGAAATGGGTGGAGTTTGTCTCTGTGAAAGCAATTTCCCCTTCTGTTCTCTACCCCTCTCACCATCCCACTCTATATTCCTTTAAAAAAGTTTTCTAAAGAAAATATTCAAAAGTACAGGCCAAATATTTTTTACACTAGCAAAAAATGGGAAACAACCTGAATGTCCAACATTAGGGAATTGCCAAAATAAATTATGGTACACCCATGTGGCAATACCTCTATAAAATGAGGAAATTACTTATCATTCATTAGAAAGTAACAGATTAAAAGCACTGTATATGGAATGATACCAATTTCGATAGTAGACATAATGTACTGATTAAAAAAACCTAGAGGAATATATACACCACAATTTTTATGGTAGAAATATGGATGTTTTAAAATAATTTCTAAAATACATTTACCTGTAATGAACATAAATAGAAAAAAGAATTAATTCTTTTCCCAATAGTAAAATATAAGGGAACATTTCTAACAGATAGGCTATTATCTAAACTAAGAGCTAAAGAATTTAGCCATGACACTTCTTGTGTAGACATATATATATATTTATGCATAGACTTTTTAGTTATCCCTTCTTCGTAGCAGTTTCGCTTAAGCATGTTAGTTTTTTGTTAAAGATATTAGTCGATTTTGAATGTTATTTTGCAAAGAGTACTCAGTGGTTGGTGAGTTGAAATGGAGGAAGCTATAGCTCACGACCATCTTTCCGTTACTGGCAACATCAACTTGCATCATACAATTTCCTTTTATCACTTTGGTCAAGAGGAGGGGCAGAAAATTTTGAGTTGAAGTATGATTCAGAGGCATATCATTTCTGCTTTTCATTTTACAGCCCCCAAGGGACCCAGGGCTGGAAGGGCCAACGTCTCCCTCATCTTGGGGTCAGTGTTCTCCATCTGCATCACTCCGTGGCACCACGACAGGTAATCCTCTGCTTTTATTCTCTCAGACCTTTGTACCTGATTATGTTATTAGTCCTACTTATTCTAGAAATGAGGCCTTTGACTACAAATGATTTGGCATGAGTGGGATTGATAGGAAATCATTCTCTGTTGATTGAATTAGAGTTGCATTAACTCTGAAGGATGTGAAAATTGTAGTTCAGCATTCACAGAAAGTTATTTTCTCTTTCTCAATGTACTATGATTTTTGCTTTGTGTTATCCAAATAAGAAAGAGGGGGTTAATTAATTTTTATTTGGGTTTAATGATTTACATAATATCCATTTTGAAGGATTCTATAATAGAAAAGACTCTTTTTCTTAGGAAATTAGTGAAAATGTGAATAATTAAGTTTAGAAAATTTTGTACATTAAAAAAAATTTAGAAAAAATATAGTTATGTGTGTGATATTTTCCCCATATTTGTTGTGTCTTGGATATCATCTTTTCACACTGATTTATAGAAGAAGAAAGGTACATTTTAAATGTTTACTATTTAGTAATTTTTTCTATGTTGGCATCTATTAATAGACCGCATCCATTATGGACATTAACTAATGACCGCCTATTCACAAATTTTATTTTCACATAGGCTTTTTTGGCAACATCATACACTGGAATATTGTTTCTAAAATTCTGATACTCATGGAATCATTTGGGATTAAAAATACAGGTGACTGGCCTCTAACCTAAGAGATTTTTATTCAGTACATCTTGCACAGGGCACTGGAATCTGGAACGTTAACCAATCTGCAATATTAACCCTCAAATAATTCTTTTGCAGATGGTGTATGGCATGGACTTCTGGAAACACCCTAGTAGAATCACATATAATTGAAAACAATGCAAAAACTTTTAAATATTTATATGTATGTTGGAACATGTGTAAGTCATTTTAAAGCCAAGATAATTATTTTTTTTAGAATGTAGGATTTTTGTTTTTTGAATTGCTAGCTTAAAAGTATTTCAATGATTTGAGGGAGTACCAATTTCACCTAACATTTGTATATGTATGTTGAACATTTTAAGAAAAATTGGCTGTGTGCATAGGACAATAATCTATTGGTAGATTTTAAAATCTCTTTCTGTATTTTCCAATAATCATGGTAACGATCACTAGTAGTGATCACTGTATAAATAACTTTAACATAAATGTTGAAAGGTTTTCCATTTCTCATAAAAGTCAGGCTCAGTCATGCTGTAGGCGCTTAAAGGGGTTAATAAACACACACCCACAGACACACAGACACATACATGGACACACACATACACCCCTCTCTGCATGAAATCCTGGTATGTTCCTATTGACTGACATTTTAGTTTTTCTTTAGACAGAAATCATCCTGTTGTAAGGTTTTATGCATCCTGTTGCAAAATATATTTCTCTTCTTACTCTAAAGATGAGTGATCAGGGAGTGATTTATTCAACCGTGAGATTTCTGCAGTCTTCTTCAGAGTCAGAGAGTGGACGAAGTCCTGATGTTACTCTGAGGCCTGAGAAGACTGACGACAAAGGTATGTGTTTTAAGCATCTAAATTCGCCTGTCTCTTACGGATCGACAAACATTTGATGTTTGAAAGATGTTTCCGTCTGTACTTCTGGTTCTTAGCTGGTAATAAAATACTATAATGGGCAAGGATACTAGGACGGATGTCTTTTTAAAAGAATAAAAGACTGTGAGAATAGAAAAATTAATTAATTCTTTTAAATTTAAGAAGCTAGTAAAATGTTTTTATTCAGATCTGATCAAGAAGAATTTGTGAAGCCTTTAAATGTAAAGGACAGAATAGAGTCTGAAAAAAAACCACAAACAAACCCACAGCATTTCTTAGACAAATAAGAATCTTGGAGAATATTTAAGAAATGAAAAATATGTGTTAAAAGAATGTTTATATTCAGACCAAAGATGTTTTAGGTGTCTTAAATATTTAGCAACCCTTAATGGCAATGAAGCAGCAAAAATATTCAAATTAAAAGGGGTGTTCTAATTTTTCTACCCTCTTTCCCTTTTTTCAAATATTGTATCAGTTAAACTCTAAATTGAGAATAACCACTACTGCTTCAGTTTAGTGATAATCAGAGCTACAACTTTCAGATATTGAGGACCTCAAAAGCAAAAGGATAACTGTAGGATTGTCTAGAGAAAAATAGAACTTATGAAAAATATAGGCAAGTTGATTTCCAGAAACTCTTTTATGGATCACCCCAATCACATTTGCAGCTTCAGAATATCCACTATCAGATACCAATTTCTCAAGAATATTGACTGCTTTTACCTTCCTCTTCATGATGAGTTGTGACCACAGTAAGGAGCATGTGTATCAGTTTGGATTCTCCTGCATGTTTTGCATCTATTGCCATCAGTGCTTTTGTAAAGGATGTACTTTTGAAATCCTATAGAACCATTCCCGTATTAGCATATCTACAATGGGTGCGTGTGTCAGCCAGAAATCTGAAACTTCAAAACTAAGTTATAGGGGTTACAAATTTTATATTTATTTATTTATTTCTGAGACAGGTTCTTGCACTGTCGCTCAGGCTAGAGTGCAGTGGTGTTATCATAGCTCATGGCACCTTAAATTCCTGAGCTCAAGCAATCCTCCTACCTCACCCTCCTGAGTAGCTGGGACTACAGACGCGCAACACCACGCCCGGCTAATTTTTCTATTTTTTGTGGAGATAGGGGTAGAAGGGTGTGGGTGGGGGGGCATGAGGGGTTGCTCTCTTGTTCAGGCTGGTCTTGAACTCCTAGCCTCAAGCAATCCTCCTACCTCTGCCTCCCAGAGCGCTAGGATTATAGGCCTGAGCCACCACACCTGGCACTATCGGCTACAAATTTAAATCAATTTGCATGCTATATTTCTGTAAAATTTTTAGAGATGATTGTCCCTTTGTATCACATGATGTTCTAGGTCAAGGTTAGTAGTGAGCCATCGTCTTCCCTTGATGATTATTTTCTCCCCTTTTTTATTTCAAGAGTTTTCAGTGTCCTGGCGTCTCATTGCAGTGAGTCTTGGGATCCTCTGTTTAGTTCTGTTGGTGATAGTCACAGTGTTGGTGACAAAGAGTGAGTAATTGAAATACATATTTCTTGTCTGAGTAATAGCAGTAAACACTAACAGTAAACACTGTGCAGATATTAACCGTGCTCCCTCCATTGTTCCCTGTCTGTAATCAGGGAATGTCCCAGGTGGCTCTGGACTATGTAGGTGATTTTTTCCTGGCCCTGCCACGTGTCATTTTCATTTTATTTAACCTTGACTCTGAAGCTGGGATGAGACCATTCTGTATGATACATGGTAATATTTCTTCTGATCGAGGATTTAGTAGTACATGTATTCTGCCAAATGAGTTTAGATTCATTGTGAATGTAAGATTAAGCATTCTTTGAGAAACAGGTGTTCAAAAGAAATTATGGCTTTCTATCAACTTTTTTCAAAGTATATAAGGAAGAATGGTTTAGTAAAAGAATGAATCTATATATGTATGTTAGATCTTGAATTCAAACTTTATCTTTTATTTGAATTCCTTTACATCTTTGAGAAAATCACTGATATGTTATACTCAGGTAAAATTACATATCTGGATCTTACTCTCTTTTCTCCTATGAAGACTCCTTCTGCTCCAGTAATAATTGTGCTATCTGTTCATGTTTCAAATAGTTCAGATACACACAAGATATGTTGTTAAATGTTGACCGATTTCACATTGGTACTTACTTGTAAATAATGTGCTATTAAAAATGAACTAACATGAAAGATAAGGAGTTACCATCATAATTTTATTCAGATATCTTATTCTATTTATCCTACAATTAAGTTGCTAATAGTGAGAAATTTATGTTTCCATAGCTATGGTCAGTTCATTGAAGTGTACTTTGTAAATGTCAAATTACTAATCAAAGTAATGATATGAGTTGGTTGTCAAAGTGAGACTTTTTTCTCTTGTCTTAAATTTCTATATATATATATATATTTTGGAGACAGAGTCTCTCTTTGTTGCCCAGGCTAGAGTGAGTGCCATGGCATCAGCCTAGCTCATAGCAACCTCAAACTCCTGGGCTCAAGCAATCCTTCTGCCTCAGCCTCCCGAGCAGCTGGGACTACAGGCATGCGCCACCATGCCCGCTATTTTCTGTATATATTAGTTGCCAATTAATTTCTTTCTATTTATAGTAGAGATGGGTCTCACTCTTGCTCAGGCTGGTTTCGAACTCCTGATCTAGAGCAATCCGCCGCCCTCGGCCTCCCAGAGTGCTAGGATTACAGGCGTGAGCCACTGCACCCAGCCCATGAAATTTCTATATTTGTTATGAGTATGTTTTGTATTATGTTTATACGATTAATTTTAGTTTTTCAGTGCATTCAAGAAAGACATCAGCAGCAGGAAATTCTAGGACACCTTAGTCAAAAGGACAACTATTTAAAGGAGCAACTTTTGATAAATAAGACTTTAGAATATGACATTTTAAAAAATGAAAGCCTTCAGCAGAAAAAGAAACTGGATTCACTCTTTCTGAAAAACAACATATGTCATATAAAAAATGAGATCTTTTCAAAATCTTTGGAAAATACAGGTATGGAGGAAATCTTGAATGTAAGATTGCATGATTTTTCATTTCTTTCCTCTCTAGAAACTTTGGAAGTTGAATAAACAGGTTTATGATATGTACTAGTGATCTATGGGGTCTACTGGACAACTTTTAATTTGTGCCTCTTGCATGTAATATAGTATTTGGGGTTGCTTATTTCAAATATGGGATTAGGACCCTGGGAGCCATGTTTGGATCAGTAGACTCCTATAGTTCCCATAACTCAATGGCAGCTCTTACATTCTTACTGCTCTGAAAAGGTGAAATAGCATGTCAGCTCTTCTGAAAATTCAGATCATTTTGGTCCTGTGGCAAATTAAAGATTCCCGCTCTTTGTTGGCATAGAATATGGAGGCTGGGCCATCAGTAAAAGTATATTTAGGCTAAAATGGGCAAAAGAGCTTTTAGTTGGATGCTTTTATAAAGAAAATTGTGTGTGTTTTCATTCTGCCTTGACTTCAGATATTTGGTCTATTTGTAACCAGTATATCTGCAGTATGTCTGAAAGATTTGCTATCGTGTTGATGTTTGCGTAACTCCACGTGATCATACCATTAAAAACACTCAAGAGATAAACATATTACATCTCATACAATGAACGTCCTTATCTTGCATAATGAAAGAATGAATTGACCTAGTTAATCAACAACTACTGAGTATTTGTTTAGGGTTTAGAGTTCCCAAAGAGCTTTTGTGTATTTAATCTCATTTAAGTATGGTACTAAAAATTTATTGTCTCTATTATTACAGGGTCTATAATATTTTAAAATTTTGGTACATATTAAATACATGAAAGGAAAAGAACAAATTCTAAAAAATAATGTTTCTATTACTTAGAAGGCATTCCAGAATTTTTTAAAATTTAATTTTATTATTTTTTAGGCAGCTATATTAAAGTATTATTGATATACAAAAACTGCACATATTTAATATATTCAATTGGATGAGTTTGAACATATGTGTACAACTGTGAAATCAACACCACAATCAAGGTTATAAACATAGCTATCACTTCCAAAATTTTCCTCATGTTTATTTATTTATTTATGGTGAGAACATTTAACATGAGATCTACCCTCTTAGCAAGTGTTAAGTGTACAATACAAAATCGTTAACTATTGGCACTATGCTGTACAGTAGATCTCTAGAACTTATTCATCTTGCGTAATTGAAACTTCATACCTAAGTTACAGCTCTTCATTTCTCCCTGCCCCCAGCCCCAGGCAACCACCATTCTATTCTCTGCTTCCATGAGTTTGACTATTTTCGATACCTTATCTAAGTGGAATCATAAAGTGTTTGTCCTTCTGTGATTGCCGTATTTCATGTAGCATAACGTCTTCAAGGTTTATCCGTGTTGTTGGACATAGCAGGATTTACTTATTTTTAAAGGCGGAATAATATTCCATTGTATGTATATGCCACATTTTCTTTATATTTATCCACCCTTGGACATTTAGGTTGTTACCGGATCTTGGCTATTGGGAATAAAGCCGCATTAACCATGGGAATGCAGGTGTCTCCTGGTATTCCGGAATCTTGAGGAGCCTCGTATTATCATTATTGACAGCTACTGAGATTTTATTTAGTCATGGAGCGCTGATAAATACATTGCTCTGGTTGACAGAATCCAGATGACAAGAAATGCAATGATTCACCTGATATGTTGTAGGCAAACGTTATGAAGCCCACTGGACCTGTTGTGGATTAAGCTGTTATTATTTTGCCGTGGAAAATAAAAACTGGAAGGGATGCAAACAGACTTGCCAAAGTTACAAATCCTCCCTTTTGAAGATAGATGATGAAGATGAACTGGTACCGTGGACTCTTACATTCACTTTTATTCTCTTGGACTCTGTCTTTCACCCTTGAACCTAAGATATTGAGGACAGGCAGGAAAACAGAAAGAGAGACCTTTAGCTGTTGTTCGTGTTGTGCCTATTGTGTGAGCAAAAACTGTATAGTTAAGAGTCTCATAGGAGACCCCTGCCTGCTAATAGGGATATGATCCTGTTACTTACTAAGTACCTAATACATATTATCTATTTTGATGACAGTTATTATTAAGGATGCAGTTTGGGTCTTTGCAATCATCTCCCTTTCCAAGGAGTTTGCAATAGAGCCACTCACAGAGAAATATGCTTTTCCTTCTTTGAAGTACTTAACCCTTTGGTAAATTGTGGCTTGGAACCAACAGTTATTTATCTCTATAAGGTAGCAACTAAGAATTGGGATGCAGAATAGTCTAGTAGTTACTATCAGGAACCCAGGAGCCAGGCTGCCTGGGGGCAAATCCAGCTCTACTACGTATTTAGCTGCGTGACTTTCAGTATTACTTACCCTCTCTGGGCCTATTTGCAAAATGGAGATAATAATGAGGAACTTAAAAGTGGTAAGATTTACAAATTAGCCTCATAGTGATTTTCATTGCATCTGCAGGTAACATTTACTTGATTAACATTCTTATATATTACATCCAGGTATATCTCCTTAAGACATAAAAAGAGAAAAATATAGTGACAACAATACTGAATTTTAAAAAGTTTACTACTAACAAAAATTATCCAGATACACAAAATGCGTTTTTTATAGAGACATGTTTGCAAAGATCAGCCTGAAACCTCTGTTTATCATTTAGGAAAACAATACAACATTTGTATGTAAATCTAATAAATGTTTAAAATCACAACAAAAAGAATTCTTGATATCGTCATGAAATAATTGTTTATGTTCAAATCAGTAAAATGTAGTTACATTTAAACTTACAGTTTAAAATATATTCAGTCATGTAATCAAACATTATGTAATATGTCACTTTGATATATCACATTTTAGATATAGTTAAATACTTCCAAATACTGCCTCCTTTCTCTTCACCCCCTTCCAACTACTGAATTCTAGCAAGAGGCTGAAGCTTTTAATGCTGCCCTCACACAAACACTTTTTATTTTAATAAATTTGTTTTGAAGATTTCATCTTTCACTTATGATTGGGTGATGATCAATTTTCTACATCCTAAATATTTTGGGGGAGCCTGATGTTGAATAGTTTCAGAAAGCATCATAAATTATTTAACAAGTCTTCTATTGCTAGATATTTAGATTTTTTAAATTTTCCCTATTTTAAATAATCTATGAGAGCAGCAGCCATTTTTAACATAAATAAATAATGTATTAGGGGGACATTGCTTTGGAAAATGAAAACACAGGGATTGAGGGGAGAGAGGTTAGTTCTCTAGCAAGGAGGAATGAAGGATGCTGCTGAGAGTAGCAGAGACAGCTGGCCCTTCAGCCTGTCCTTCTCTGCACTCCTCTACCGGATGGGAGTTGAATCACATGATGTGTTTTGTTTCCTTCATAGACCTTCGTTCAACTCCAGATTTATAAAAATAATTACTGGATCGGATTATCATATGATGAGAGGGAAAGTAAATGGAAATGGGTTGATAGTGGCTCGTCTCCCGGAATGTAAGTTTCTAGAGAGTACTCAAACCCTGACATTGGTGGGGGGTTAAAAGGATTGTGTCTAAAAAGAATTTTTTTCTAATTTCACACAGCTTTACTCATTTTCAAGTAGCAGTCATTGGTAAGAATAAAAGGGATGAGTAAGGAAGTGTTTTAGGAAGTGTAGTTAAAAAAGGAAGAGAAGTGTCATGCACAGTAACAGTGAAAGAGTATGATGCTAAACAAATGCCCAGAGGCACACAAAATGAAACAAAATCATAAAATAAGATGATATAAAGTGATTGGACCATCTTGACTTAGCTATAAGGATCTCTCCCACAACCACAAATCAGTGTACCGAGCATTGCCAAAATTCATTTGAAATCCCTTTATATAATTAGTTTCTACATCTCTATATTTATTTATATGTTATTTATAAATATATATATATACACATATATTCACTGTTGTTCTATTTTGAAGTACGGTATTATGTAAACTCTCAGGTTTACCTTTAGTTCTAATCTGCTGTTAAATGGTTCATTGATTTGTAAAAAAAATCTCAACTATTTTATTTCTAGGAATTCTGTTTTGGGTTTTCAAATATCCTTGCTAGTTACTCATATTTTTAAGCTGTATTTTATTTCTTTTTTTTTTTTTTTTTTGAGAAGAGTCTCACTTCCTGTTAGTCAGACTAGTTGGTGAGTGCCATGGCATCCCTAGCACCAGGACACCCTCAACTCTGCTCAAGCGCTCCTGCTGCCTCAGCCTGGCGTGAGCCACCGCGCCCGGCCTGTATTTTATTTCTTGAAAGATATTAAACACACTTATTTTACACATGATATCTGATAATTCTTTTTTTTGTTTTTTGAGGGGGAGTCTTGTTCTGTTACCCAGTTAGAGTGCAGTAGCGTCAACATAGCTCACTACAACCTCAAACTCCTGGGCTCAAGTGATCCTCCTGCCTCAGCCTCCTGAATAGTTGGCACTGCAGGTGTGCATCACCAAGCCCCAGCTAATTTTTTTTCCTTTTTGTGTAGAGACCGAGTCTCACTCCTGCTCAGGCTGGTCTTCTAGACTCCTGAGCTCATGTGATTCTCCTGCCTCGGCCCCCCAGAGTGCTAGAATTACTGTGCCGGGCCCTGATAATTCTAACATTTGAAGTTTTGTGGGTCTAATCTATTATTTCTGCTGTTTTTGTTCATCATCCCATTTTCTTTGTAGTATTTAGTGATTTATTTTTCTTTTTGAGCTGCTTTTGACACTATTTGAGGCCTGAGATGAAGTTGGTACCTTCCTTAAGAAAGAATTTGCTGGCCGGGCGCGGTGGCTCACGCCTGTAATCCTAGCTCTCTGGGAGGCCGAGGCGGGTGGATTGCTCAAGGTCAGGAGTTCGAAACCAGCCTGAGCAAGAGCGAGACCGTTCTACTATAAACAGAAGAAACTAATTGGCCTAACTAATCGAAAATTAGCTGGGCATAGTGGCTCATGCCTGTAGTCCAGCATACTTGGGAGGCTGAGGCAGGAGGATTGCTTGAGCCCAGGAGTTTGAGCTTGCTGTGAGCTACGGTCTGCACCAAAAGCACCTACACATCTAAGGCTGAGGCACAAAGCACCGACTGCCCCTGTCCTCAAAAAAAAAGAAAGAAAGAATTTGCTTTTGTTGGATGGCTTGGGGCACTGTGAGTCTGGGTCACTTTTGATTACAAATTTAAGCCTTGCAAGTATCATTAGTTCTGGGCTGCAAATCTACAAACAATGTCATGCAGGAAATTACCTTGATGTGATTTGTATCCCCCAAGCACACTCCCAGGAAACCTAACCCAGAGGTCACACAATAGAAAAGCTAATAAGCCAAATTAAGCTGCTCAAGTCACACAGTTAATTAAATCACTTTAAAAACCCATAGCACAATGCAAAGGGACAGCAATAGGTTAGATTGTTGCACGTAGGATAAGGTACGAGAGGGTGAAAGGAACACCTAAACCCTGGGCGCTGCAATCTCCATATTGCCTGACTCTCTTTGCTGCAAAACCCTCGCTTGATGATGTGGTCGTGGTTTCTAGGGGCAAACTTGAGGTTTGAGTAAGAGAGCCCAACAGCCAGAAGGTTTTTGTGGCCAGCACACACATTTTCTCGACCAGGGAGGTGCAGAAGCATGTAAGTGTGGCCACAGCTGCAACTTTCCTATTAACCTGATAAGAAGATATGTATTTAATTTGTGTTTCTTGGGCAGAGGCCAGAATGGGTAGTGAACTGAAGACCTCATGAATGCTGAGTGTGTATGTCCCTCATGTATATTTTGTGTATATTGAGTGTCGACTTGGCCCTTCCTTCCTTTTTTGTCTGTGCTCAGCACACACATCCTCTACTCACTGTATCTCTACCTGTCTCATAGGTTACTAATTTACCTATCCATTGCTACCACACTTTGTGTTCTACCTATGCCTTGCGAGCTATTGTACTTGGTTTCATTTATCCTCATTTGTTTCTTTTTTCCTATGCCGGATTTGACTATTCTTAAGTAATATAGCACATGCAAATTACATGTGGGATGCTTTGTGATGTTGAGTTCTCAGGTGGGATTATTCTTTTTGTCTTCTGCTTAAATCCAAGGTTCAAGACAGTTCTAGGTGGTTTACATTGAAGATATATCCTCTTTGGGGTCTCTGCCCTATGCAGCTTGTGGAGATTCTAGATCTCCATCTCAGTGGGATTCATCTCAGCCTATTATATCCATCACAGGAAAAAATGGCTTCAGTACTTTCCTTACTCTCGTGGGTCCCCACATTTACTTAATCTTCAGCCTGAGTATGAATCTGCTTCTTATCACTTTATGAATTTATTTTATATGGTTTAAATTTTTTTCATTCAGCATTTTTAATTGTGTTCAGTAGAAAGTTGGTTATGGCACCTAATCCACCATTTTGCTGAAATAGATGTCCTGCTTTAGATATTTCTCAATGGATTGTCATGTGTTAACTATGAGGAAAAGAGACAATAAAACGAAAACAGGAAACAGCCTCATTTCTGAGTTTATTCTAATTCTACTTTTTTCTCCTGGAAGTATATTACATGAGATGTGGTTATCTGTGTCACTCAGGAATTCAGTTCTTCTTTTTTCATCTCTCACTTTTATTGAAATAAAATGAACCAAAGAAAGCAGGTTTGGAATATCACAGTCCCATTTGCAATGCTATAAGGTAATTTTATCTTCTGACCAAAAATTGTCAGTGTGGAATAAAATGGGAGATTTTGGGTGTGATTAAGAGGCACGATTGTATTTAAAGGACTAAGAGCCAAAAACAATCTTTCAGTGATGAAGCTATGGTTAACGCTTCCATCTTCCAGATATTTAGCCAATATAATTTTTAAAAAAAATCATGATTTATGTAATTGCAAGCTTCCAAATTAAACAATTGGCCATGTATGTTTTCTGTTTTACAGTAATGTTGGAATAATGAATTCGTCTTCTGGGAGAGGAAAATGTGGATTTTTATCCTCAACAAGAGTAGCAGCTATTGATTGCATTCAAACTTACAACTGTATCTGTGAAAAGAGAATTGGCTGTAGTATTTTCTCTGCTTCAGCATGCACTGAGAAGAAAAGGTGAAAATGGAATGTTGTCTTTTTTTGTTTACTTCTTCTAATAATTTCTGATTACTTTCAAACAAATGTTTTTACCTGCAGGACTTAGTCCATTGTTGAAACAGATAAAGATGAGCTGGAAGAGAAAGGAAGTGTTTTTTTGGGCTATCTCTTAGAGATCAGATATCATCTTCCATCCTGGGAAGAGGGGAAGATTTTGTTCTTGGAGAGCAGTTGCCCCTTTTCTTAATGGTCCTGAGGAATTATTTATTCTTTCTATTTTCCTGAATCACCTACAGAACCAATTAGACAACTCATAAATAGCCTGGGTCTTTTCCTTATCAATAGGATAAATTGTCTCAATATCTTCTGGCTTTGATAGCACAATTAGAACTAGGATATAGGTTTTCTTTCTTCTTATTTAGAAGCTTACCTCATTTTTGTGTGTGTGTGGGGCAGAGTCTCACTCTGTTGCCAGGGCTAGAGTTGCCGTGGTGTCATCATAGCTCACAGCAACCTCAAACTCCTGGGCTCAAGCAATCCTCCTGCCTCAGCCTCCCGAGTAGCTGGCACTACAGGCATTCATCACTATGCATAGCTAATTTTTCTATTTTTTGTAGAGATAGGGGGAGGGTCTCACTTTTGCTCAGGCTGGCCTCAAACTCCTGACTTCAAGTGATCCTCTTGCCTAGCCTCCTAGAGTGCTAGAATTAGAGGCGTGAGCCACCATGCCAGGCTTAGAGGCTTACTTCATCTTTTTAAAATAATTATTTTTCTATAAAATATAATTTAAAACTTACTGGAAGTTGCGAGCATAGTATAAGGAACTCTCATATAATCTTTACCTTTAGTTACCAGTGTTTATATTTTGCTCTATCAGCTTTATAGTTTTTCTTTCTCTTTCAATCCTTGCTGATCCATATGATAATAAATTGAGGACTTCAAGTCCCTTTGTCTGATTATTTCCCAAGAACAAGGGCTTTTTCTTATATAACCATACTGCAGTTATCAAAATCAGGAAATTTAGTATTGATTCATACAGTACTATGATCTAATCTATAATTCATGTTCACATTTTGTCAATTGTCCTAATAATGCCCTTTATAAGTATTCTTTTTCCATGTTCAGGATCATGCAATAGATTTAATTGTATCTCTTTAGTTTCTCTTAATCTGGAACAGTTTTTGAGGCTTTCTTTTTCTCTCTTAAACATGACATCTTAAAAATTAACTTTTATTGAGTTATATGTTGTATACAATAAAATATACATACTTTAAGTCATGAGAAATATGGTTTTAACAGACACATACACCTCCTACACATTATAAAATGCATATATAGGACATTTCCATCACTTCCAAGAAGTTCCTTCTGCCCCTCACCATCAAGTTGGCACCAGGAAACCAGAGACATGCTTTCTACCACTATAAATTAGTTTTGCCCATTCTAGAATTTCATGCATAATGTACTGTTTTATATTTGGCTTCTTTTTGCTCAGCATATTTTTGAAATTAATCCATTTCTTTGTGTGTGTGTGTATCAGTATTTTATTTTTTTTTTGTTACTAGATGTATTGTATTATACAAATATACTGCAATTTGTTCATTCTCACCTATGGACATTTGATGTGTTTCCAATTTTTAGTTATTATGAATAAAGTTGCCATGAACATTTGTGTGCACATCTCTGTGTGGATATATATTTTCATTTCTTTTTAGTAAATACCTAGAAACCTGCTTGCTGGGTCCCATGGTGCATGTTTTCTCCCATCTAAGTACTAACCAGGCCCAACCCTGCTTAGCTTCTGAGATCAGACGAGATCGGGTGTGTTCAGGATGGTATGGCCATAGACCATGTTTTCTTTTATAAGAAAATTGTAAATTGTTTTCCAATGTGGTTGCATCATTTTACTTTCCCAGTAGAAGCATATGAGAGTTCCAGTTGCTCCTCATCATTGCCAACACTTGATAGTGTCAGTCTTTTTAATGTTAGCTGTTATGGTAGATGTGTAGTGGTATCTCATTGTGATTTTATTTTTTAATTAATTCATTCATTGTTATTATTTTTGATACAGAGTCACACTCCACTGCCCTTAGTAGAGTCCCCTGGTGTCAGCCTAACTCATAGCACCCTCAAACTCCTGGGCTCAAGCGATCTTCCTGCTTCAGCTTCCCAAGTAGCTGGGACTACAGGCGCACACCATGATGCCCAGCTTGTTTTTTTATTTTTATTAGAGACGGGGTCTCACCCTTGCTCAGGCTGGTCTTGAACTCCTGAGCTCAAGCAATCCTCCCTCCTTGGCCTCCCAGGGTGCTAGTATTACAGGTGTGCCCAGCCATCTCATTGTGATTGTAATTTGCATTTTCCTCAAGATTTGAATCCACACAGGTGGAACCCATGGAGACAGAGGGCTGACTGTATTTACAATTGTTATATTACCTTGCTGAATTGATCCTTTTATCATTATACAGTGATCATCTTTGTCTCTTTTTATAATTTTTGACTTAAAGTCTATTTTATCTGATATAAACATAGCTACTCCTGTTCCCTTTTGGTTTACATTTGCATGGAATATCATTTTCCTTCCTGGGGAAGTGATTCTGTTATGGGCAACATATAGTTGGGTCTTGTGGTTTTTTTTTTTTTTTTTTTTAATCCATCAGCCACTCTTAATCCATTCACATTCAAGGTTATTATTAATAGGTGAGGACTTACTCCTGCCCTTCTGTTATTGTTTTCTGGTTGTTTTGTAGATCTTTTGGTCTTTTCTTCCTCTCTTACTGTTTATTTTGTGATTTTGTGGTTTTCTGTGTTGCTAAGCTTTGATTTCTTTCTCTTTCTCCTTTGTGTATCTGCTGTAATTTCTTTCTTCGTTGTTACCATGCCACTAACATGGGGTCTTGTAGTTGTGACAGATTATTTTTAGCTGATAATGACTTAGCTTTGGTCACATAAAAATACCCTAATCTTTTCTCCTCTCCCCTCACAATTTATATTTTTGTTGCCTTAATTTTCGTCTTTATATAGTGTATATTCCTTGACCACTAATTGTAGCTGTTGTCATTTTTGACCATTTTGATTTTCAATCTTCATACTAGGGATTTGATCAATTTCCATAGCATAATTACAGTACTAGAGTATTCTGAGCATTTTCCTTTACTAGTGAGTTTTATACTTTCATGTATTTTCATGATAGTAATCTTTTTTAAAAAAATGTTTGCTTATATGTATTTTCAAAATTTTCTATAGTTAATCTGTAATAAGAAGACATGATAATAATTTAAACTGATTAATTTAGCAACAGGAATAAAAGTGTTTTATGCAGCTAAGGAGCACTAAAGACAATTGAAGCACTAAAGACAGTCAGAAAACATATTGATATATATGTTAAAGAATGCTTTAGTATTCTATTTATTGTTTCCTAGGATGGATATTGGCTCTTTTAAAATAATTTCAATTATTAATAGTGATTTTCTAACTAACCTTTATCCATGTTTGTATCAAACTACATATTAAATCTGATTATTAAGGGATTCTTTTTCTTTTAGTTCAGGTCAAAGTCATAAAACATTAAATTAACCATTTTAAAGCAAACAATTCAGTGGTATTTAGTACATTTACAGTCTTGTACAACTATCACTTCTTTCTAGTTCTAAATCATTTTCATGACTCCCAAAGGAGACCCCATATCAATTAAGCAGGCACTTCCCATTTTCCCATCATCTCAGCCCCTGGAAACCATTAATACACTTTTTATCTCTGTAGATCTACCTGGACATTTCATACAAATGGAATCATACAAATGTGAGCCCCTGCATCTTGCCTCTCCCATCCAATACAATGTCTCTGAGTTTCCTCCACATTGTATGCATCAATACTTTTTATAGCCTTTGTAGCTAAATAATATGTCATTGTGTGGATATATCACACTCTGTTTAGTCATTCATCTGTTGATGGACATTTGGGTTGTCTCCACCCCCGGCCACTGTGAACAGTTGCACAAATTAGGAATGCAGGATATATGCAGGGGTTGACCATATGGCAAATTTCCACCAATAAGAGACAAGAGGCAGGAAAGCAGCTGCCAATAAATTGCTAACCCCTTCCTCAAACTTGGTGGACTGTTTGGAGAGGCCATGTTTGTGTAAGGTCTCCTCAGAGATGTTCTATGTGAATGAGTAAAAAACTCTTTTTTATGAAGCTTTCGCCAGCCTGAAAATATGTCTTGTTCTTCCTTTTCTTCCTTTCCTGACTCATTTCTCTTTCCTTGTGGCTTTCACTTTTGCTTCCTTTGGGTCCACTCCCTCTCCCCATTAGGTGTTTTCACGTGTTTGCCTGAGGCTCGGTTTGCAGTGGAACCCTGGGCTAAGACGGTGCTCTCTAACGAAAGGCAGGCTTGTAGCCATCCAGGGGAATTTGCTGTGAGGATTGGTCAGCATCATATAATAATGTTTACAATATAATAGCAGGGAGAAGTCTATATTATCTTCAGTCCCTTCATTGGGATCCAAACCATACTAGAGAGGAAGTACCGTGTTTCCACGAAAATAAGACCTACCCATAAAATAAGCCCTCGCAGGATTTCTAAGCATTTGCACAATATAAGCCCTACCCCGAAAATAAGACCTAGTGATGGGCGTGGCTACGCGGCGTATCTGCACAACCCCTGCATTTTGTCATAGAGCGGTAAAGAAGACGAGCAGCCCTTCTTATCTGCCCCATGAGAGCTCTATTGCTCAACATGAGAGATTGGGGCCAATGGTTCTAAAGGAAATAGAGTCGCAAGAAATTCAGGATGGAATTCAGGATTTGGAGAGTTAAGATGATGTTCCAGAAGAAGACGACATAACTATATTTGAATAAATGTAGATTGTTGTACCATACTTAAAAAAAAAAATAACACATCCTCTGAAAATAAGCCCTAGAGTCTCTTCTTGAGGAAAAGTAAATAGAAGGCCCTGTCTTATTTTCGGGGAAACGTGGTATAGGAATAGCTGGCCTCATGCTATTTTATACCTGCTTTGGAAGTGAGAACTCAAATCTCTTTCCTATAAAATGTTTAATTATTTGTCTTGCTAACCATTGAGTTATCCAGTCATTTAGGGAGTTTAAATTTAATCATGAATTATTAAAAATTATTAGTGAAAAGCCTGTTGAATGTAGGAGTGCTAATAATATGTGACCATCAGATACACATAGAAAGCAGGCCATCTGTACTGTGAATGGATACTGAGTGTCTAGAAGGTATAAATTATACTTTTTTTTGTATAAGGGAAGGAAATAAAAGAAAGGCCAAGTTAAGGAGGCTGGATATTGCCCATTATCTGAAGCTGCAAAGGTGAGACGCACAAATGACTCCCTACACTTTAGTTTGGATAGTGCAGAGGCGTAAGATGGAGGCGTCACACTCAGGCATCTGTCCTGGGGGATGGTCCTCAGTGTGGCTGTGTCCTAGCTCCCCAGCAACCTAGTATGGC